TCTGCAACATAAATCAATCAATACATAAAAATGATAGCATTTTGACGGACTTCTCAGGATAATCGGCTGAGTATGTAAAAAATCGAGGAAATACTCTGCGAGAAACACCGTCGAGGAACTCTATCACAATACCGAACTCGTACGCATGCACGAACTCATCATCCATGAGGAGAAGCCAGATAGCATGCATGAGCTCATGCTGACAGAATGTGAGGATTTCAGAAGTAGCAGGTCTATTGAAACAACTCCGATAGAAATCTTGGAGGGTATCGGATAGCTTCGAATCCATGAACTATCAGAACATATCGAGGGTAATAGGTATATCATGATCGTACCTTGGGAATGTAAGCGAGATGGTGCGCAGCAAAAGCTGCTGGCTTTCCTCGCACATACTTTGACTGGTTACCAAGAAACAGATAAATGGGCCATAGGGAAGCCGTTCCGAAACTTGCCAAGTGAGTAGAGTCAGACCACAGCATAACTGCTGCGACCACTGTCTCAAGTGTGCAGCCACCTTCCCGTGGTTGTGAGCGGATTCGGTCATGCTCCTCAAGCATTGCAGGTGAATTGTAAATTTCCCCGTAGACACGTTCAGGTGGCTCGTCATCCGATGGCTGATAGAACATCTTGAAGGGGGTAAGATGGAATCGTTCAGCGGTAGTTTCACGGAATGCTGCCTTAATGACTTCAAGTGGTCGCCGGTAAAAAAGGCCAGGAACCTCAAGTTCTGGGGCCATAGACTCCGAATCATGCTTGACTCCATCAGCAGGGAGGCGGATCTTGACTGTCGTTTCCATCCATCCATCTCCTGCGGAGAACAAAGATCATACATCTTGAGGATTACCTTGATAACTATCGAGACAGTTAGCCTCTTTGACACCACGGAAGTTTACAAGATGAGCTTTATCAAAATCATCTGCAAGAATAACTTCTTCGACAAGACGGTCCAACTCCGTGAGTGACTTCATGTTTGAACCGCCATAAAACCAACACATGAGCCGAAAGGTTGTTGCATTGAGGAATGGTGCGAAAAACTGTGTCTGATTGGATTGAATCGACTTGCCAAACCCAGACCACCAAGGCCGAGCCTCTGCGCTGTCCTGACTCTTGGCGAATGTAGGTGAATCGGAGATATGCGCAACTGAGGTAAAATTATCAGGATTGAATGATGGAATTGAGTGGCTATATTCTCAGTAGATGCCATAAAGATCACGTGCTGTTGTGACAGTAATGGGATGGACAGAGTCATACTGGTTGGGCTCTGGTACCGCGGCCACCACATCATCCAGAGCTGATGGAGGCACAACAATTGGCGTCGGAGGGAGATCATCGCGAAATCTCTTTGGCAAACGTCGTCGACAATTTGGTAACCCTGACGAACGATACACAGGGGGCGATGGAGATCTTTGAGTCTTGAAAAACTGTCAGATAAACGTGCATGAAGGGGTGCGGAATAGTGTAAATCACAAGGTTAACTGTATTAACAGCTGCATTATCACGAATCTCTTCACGAGCCCTGCTGGCAGCTTCCTCTTCTTCTTGACGACGAACTTTGGCAACTTGCTGGGCTTCATGACCACGCCGTCGTTTGGTCAGAGACGTCACTGTAGCCTCTGTAAGCTTGGTTACACATGAGCGCTTATGGGTGGTAAGTCCTCCACGTGTTTCGAATTCCCTTCGACAGCCTCGGCATATCATAGCCATCAGAAAAAGACTGGTTAAGAATAAAACATAAGATGTTGCCTGCATTGATGGCGATCAACTGCAGCGCACACCGTGGTCTGTGGCAACATAAATTTAAGCTCCGACATATCTCCGAAGTCTGTGCATCGAAGCCCAGCCTGAGCGACTGGAGGTGCTTCAGTTATATACTAAGAGTCAGTCTCCTTGCCAATGCTCGAGATGTAACAGTAAACTAAGACTTACCCGCTCGTAGTACTAGGCGTTGTTTGACTGAGATATTATCAATGAGATTGACTCGGTATGATGATGATGTACTACGTGCATTTCCGAAGATCCAGGACCTTTGGAATATCGGCTTCATACATTCTTCAAACCTGTGTGGACAGTACGTCACATACGTATTGACTGAACAGGTGATAGAATCGATTAATAATTAGTAGAGTTGGCTCCGGGATGATTCTGTCAATCAGTGTGAGACGAGCCTAATCAAGTTAACATGTGTGAACTGACAGCGATTACATAAACCTTGCGGTCAACTTGAGTAAGGGTGGAGCGATTTCTTGAGTGAAATGGAAAGGTGGGGACTCTAAGCCAAATCAGAAGTGGAGACATTAAACCGAGGAAATAAAATAATTCTGTCAATCAATGTAATTAGATCAAAGATGGGCCTAATCAAGTTAACGCACATGAACTGACAGGTGATTAAATAAAACCTTGCGGTCAACCTGAGCAAAGGCGCAGCAAGAAAAACTGTTTCTTGAATGAAATGGAAGGGCAAGGACTCTAAACCAAATCAGATGCGGAGACGTTAAACCGAGGGAATAAAATGATTCTGTCGATCAATGTGATCAGATCAAAGATGGGCCTAATCAAGTTAATTGAATAAAACCGTGCGGTCCACGAGGAGGAAGAAAAAACAATTCTTGAATGAAATGGAAAGACGGGCACTCTAAACCAAATCAGATGCGGAGACACTAAACCAAGGGATAATCACCTGAAGTAGGAACTCTAAACCAAAGCTACGCCCGGATATTCATATGTTATCATGTGCCAGCAGGCAAATCATGTTTTAAATCCTTTACAACAAGTGTCAGAATGTCATTGAATTGAATTGATACGAAGTAACAATACCCCTCAGGCCATAAGCCCGCATATAACTCCCAAAACACAAACTCCATGTCATCTATACTTACCGACTTGGAGCTCGAGACTGACCCCCACATGTCTTATCCTTCCATCCATGATTTTCTGGCCGAACTTGAAAAGGCGGAGCCACGGCGTGGGTGGATTGAAAAGTTTCTCCGTCCGCTGATTTCACTGGGGGTCAGGACAGTGGACAACATAGAAATCATTTCACCTGAATGCCTTACCGTTTTTCACCGCCTCTGTCCTCTCATGGTCATGGATTTCTTTGTCCATATCATCAGTTACCTCAATGAAGCCAGCCATTCACATCAGAGTACTAGCTCTGGGCCATAACGTGGAAAGCTGCTGGAAACAGTAGGTGAGAATGTAGTGTCGTGCGACGCCTGTCCAGTAGAAAGTAAACCTTCATCACCAGCAGCCCTACTATCCATCATAGTACATATCGACACGCCGAAGAAGATGTTAAACGCACAATATATATATGGTAGCACATCGGAGTCTCTACATCGCGCTGATCGAAGATGATTACTAGCCACAAAGTATATCATGATACGAAATGACCGAAAGGTCAGAAATGTATAATATCCGATGATGGTACACCGAAAGGCCCCCCTGTCGAAAGCATTAGCCGGTCATAGGGTGCCTGCAGGATAGAGAGACATACCTTGTGTACTAGTGCGCCTCCAATCTACTACCTGATCAGCATCCTTCCAGAGAGACATGTCGCCACCTCCAAATTCACCCCAGGCAGTGGGAACTTGAGATACCAGCACGATGCGAGAGTCGCTGAGGGAATTAAATTCCAGGAATGTTTGGACTGCGTTGATATCTTCGGAGATACAAAAAACAAGTACTTGGAGGTGTGAGCGAGCAAGAAGGGACGCTACCAAATCTGGCTTGGTCCTCTGCGTATGGATATGTAGACACAAGTGCGTCAATCTGTCAAGATACTCCAGACCAATGGTAGAGTTCCATAGGACCCAGCCGTTGAGAATTTTGAGATGCGTTACTGTACTGAAGGCCTTGAAAGCACCAAGGGAGACAAATTCGGTGTAGCGAAAAATCAAGGATATACTAAGCGATAATGACATTAGTGGGAGGTTATTCAAGGGCTGCAGCAGAGGATTTGTCGTTCCATTGAAGTCCGATGGCGCAATCCATAATGCAAGATTGGTGGCACCGCTGCATAGCGAAAGGATCTCTGCAGCCGTACTCAGAAGTACATCGCCCTCGATGCACAATGATTTCACAATGCCTCGAGCGAAATCCCCACTGCGCTGGCACCGAATACGAAGTGATGAAAGAAAGGATATAGCAATATTTTCATTTGATAAAACGATTTTTCGATAAAGCAAACTCTCAATCCTGCAGCAGTAGTAGTCAGTAACATAGCAAGGCGCTTTGCCTCAACCCTTCCGAATTGCTCACCAGTAACGTACCCTCTGTGAAACGAACAGGAGGGAGTAAGCTTGCTGCATACAATCAATAGCGAGGATAATAATCTCTCTCTCGAGTTCGAGGGGAAACACTGGCATTGGCATGACTGAGTCCAAGTCCCGAATTGGCGACATAGAGTTCAACATTATTGTGATGGCTGCTCGAAGTGGTAACGCAGACGCCACAATTATCTAAGCTAAAAAAACCAGAAACTCCAATACACTAAACGTGTATCTCCTTCGAGATTAGCTTTCCTGTCTTTGCGTCACTCCCGGTAACATTGGACAATTTACTACTGTTTGCCCTACCTCCGAGTCAAACCCCATTCGCGCTCTGCAATGTTGCACTATACTGTAAGAGGCAGGAGACGGGATGAGAGACGTGTCTAACCTAAACTTGAAGTTGAGATACTCGGATCTTAAACGACTCTAACCTGATACTGTCCCCCACTGGCAGGAGCGACCAGACCTCTTTAAGGGCATTAGAACTCAGAGCGGCAATGTAGGTGCAATCATTCAGGGTAAAATGTGTGCAGCTCTAATTTAATGTCACGAAGCTCCGTCTTGAACCCTGACCGAGCAACTGTTTAGGAAGTTGATTTCCGTTTGGTTGTTCTGCGTTGCATCAGAGAGCATAGATTCGGACAAGTTACCACTGTGCATCAAATGCAGTCAGAGTCATAACGCAGTAAAATATTTTAAAAACCCTTACATTCGACGGAGTAAGCAAGAAACATGTCATCTGACTGCGACACTCATACCAATGACTCTCATCCTTCTGACTTCAATGATGGGGCTGATGCAATCTTAGCGTACGCTAACTTCAAGTTTGAGGGCTCCAGGAGGTCTACTCCAGAAAGTCATTTTGGATGCCCTGGGTCTGCCCATGGCCAAGGCGCCCCCGTATATTCCTGTGGATGCTATAAATATAATATACTTGAAAGGTTCAAACCTTCACCTTCACCTCCTGACAATGAGCAGGCATTTCAGCTTGCAGATGAGTTTGGAGCGGAACAACCAAAGCCAGTATGTGTCTGTGGATTATAGGTAGCGATTGTAACAGATCTAATTTCAGCAGTTGGAAGTTCAAGATGGCGATCACTATAATGGTGACGCACGTCATTCAAAGCGAAAGAGGTCTGACGATCATGATGATGTTGTGAGTACGCCCAGCTCAAATTTTCGACTGACACACTCACCACACGCAGATTCCACGTAACTTTGGCCAGGACGTGAGGGCAACATCAGTACCTGTTGTTGAGCTTCAGCCACCTGTGAAACACAGGAAGATAGAAAGAAAATTCGAGTTGTTTGAAGGGGAATCGGCACTAGCCAAGGTCATGCAGGAAGTTGTGGAAGTGCGTGAGGTTGTGAGTAGGATTGAAGCGGTCATCGACAGGCAAAACACAGTTCTTCTTGAAATCTGTAACGCTATCGAAAACCATGGGATGTGAATTGCCGTATTGACTCTTGATACTAGTGTCATAACAACTAAGAATCTAGAGTAGACAATGTCATGACCAGTCTTGAGCGAAAGTGGACAGCCGAACTCGAGCGAGTCTCAGAGTAATTGGACAATGGTGGAGACAGTATTCGGACGCACAGCATCCAGAAACGTTCAAGCAAGCAATCGTGGCGAGGCAGTGGTGAAAGCGTGATCAGTGGTGAAACCATTTTACATCCATGAACGGCGTCCTACAATCGTGCTAGCATCACATTTTAGGGAAAACAATCTCTATTCTGGATGTGCATACAACGCATATCGCGTGAAGTGTCAATTTCAAAGATTCGGAGGGTGCAGGTGCAGGCTCTGAAGCAACAGTAGGTGCAGGCTCTGTGGCCTCAGAAGGTACGGTTTCCCAATTGATAGTATTAGTAGAAAGAGACGTGCGCGGAATTTGGAGGCTGATGGTGGGAGTGTACTTGAATGACATGAACGAGCGAAGGGAGTGCGCATCGTGGATGAGATCTTGGTGCGACAAATCAGTCGACGAGTTAGATTTTGAGAGAAGAACTTACCGTGCATTGACAAAGTTAACCGCCTGATCGAGCGAATCCACGGGCACGATAGGCAATATCGGACCAAAGAGTTCTTTATGGACACCGTGCTATCAGAATCACATTTCTAACACAAGGGAATACTGACTCTTCTGACAATGAATCGCAGCCCGCAACATTCTTCACAATGGTGAGCTCGAGTATTTTCCTCGCAGCGTCAGCGCGACCCTTAAGAACGATTTCACCCTTTGTGCGGGAAAGATGTGAAGTGAGGTGTTTATAATTGTCAAGCGTCAAAAGGTGACGATACTGAATGGGGTTGTAGAAACGCACCTTGGCAGATGATGACCCTTTCCTCCTGAACTTCTCCGGCTCGGCAATGTGTTCATCCTCACTGTCTCATAAGATGGATATACATGAAGAGGGATACGGGCCCACGGTGGGAATGACAGGGTGGTCCGAGTAAATTGCAAAATGTTTGTCCAAAAACTCTTGCGCGCACACTCATGTTGTGAGGCGACAGGTTGAGTGGTACTGTCTGGTGCTAGAATTGGCGAAGGCGAAGGCATAGGGCAGCGTGAAACGCCTGGAGATGCAGAGGGTGTCAAAGCACTTGGGGGCTCGGTGAGGGAGGAGCGCTGGAGTGTGCCAAAGGAGATATCGAAGAAGAGTTGGATATGGAGGACCTGTATGCGGGAGAATGAGTTTGAGGGGATGAGTGATGAAATGAACATAAAACGTACCTGATTCACCGTATGTATTCAATCTTGGTAGTGTTGTAGCGGCTATGCAACCGAAATTTTCGAGAGACGGAGCGGACAATCTCGGAGTTGCGTGAGGATAGACAGTGATTATTCGAACGTAGAAAGTATGATTGCGTAGACGTACGGGCGTCACAAAACGGAAGGCACAGTCATGTGATCAAGAAAACGTGGCACTTTTTCCTTGAGTGACATCATCACTCAAGGAAAAAGTGCCATGTGGCTTGTGTCAGGTGACGATCGAACACGGTTCCCGCGTACAATTTTCTGTCATCATGCTTACGTCACATGCCGTCATTTTTCGTCCTGGGGCGAAAAATGCCGTATTTGTTTGGGACAGTAATAGTATTGTCCTTCTTACAGATAGCTGAAGACCTCGACAAATGCTTGTACGAGTCCTTCCACCTCAACTTTGTAGAACCTCTCCCTCGTGCCTTGCTAGAAGAGCTGGCAGCCTCTGTCGCCAGCGCCGGAACAGGTGACTTGGTTGAACAGGTGAGTATCTTGCGCATGTCATTCTGTTTTCAGTGTGCTGAAGCATGTTTCCAGGTTCTCAATCAATATTTATGTCACCGCTTCCTTCTACTACGCCATCTAGTCAAGCAGGGCCATCCAAGGCACCTGTAACATCTTACACACTCCTGAACTCCCCATCATCCACCGAACAACAGATAGAAGGGGAGATTGAACGCATATCCAATGGTCTCTTCAATGCTGTTGTTACAATGGGTGAGTGCGGTATATTGATGTATCATCGATAGGTGACTTAAATATCGCACGGATAAGGCCACGTTCCAGTCATCCGCGCACCCAAAGGCAATGCTGCGGAGATGATAGCAAAAAGCTCGATATCAAGATACGAGATGCGATTCTTTCGGCCTCCCGAACTCATGGGGCCACGTCATCATTATTCGCGCAAGATGCATCTGGCTTGTCGAATCTGCAACGACCACATGTGTTCGTCCTATTCTTCGTGGTGTTAAACTACTGACGCCGTTCCAGTGCTGCTGATTCTTGACAGAAATATTGATCTCGTTTCGATGATCTGCCACGGATGGACGTATCAAGCCCTAGTGTCTGATTGTCTAGAGATCAAGCTCAATCGCGTAGTTGTTACTCAACCACAGAAGCGCTCATACGATCTTGATTCTAAGGACTTTTTCTGGGCAAAAAATGCACCAAACCCATTCCCTCAAGTCGCTGAAGAGATCGACACGGAACTGAGCAAATACAAGCAAGATGCTGCCGAAATCACACGATCTACGGGTGTCAGTGATGTTAATGACATCTCGCAAATGTACGTGCTCTTCAAGCTTCGCCATCGTGTTTATTGAGATGAATTGTAGTGATATATCTTCCAATGCTGCACACTTGAAAACTGCGATCACACAGCTACCAGAACTGACTGCGCGGAAGGCTGTTCTCGACACCCATATGAACATAGCCACCGCATTGCTGGAGCAGATCAAGAAGCGTGCGCTTGATGAACTTTTCAGCACCGAAGAGGCCATCAGTAAACAGGTGCGGCCTCATCCAGCTAGCTCGATATTCTTCGATATTAATTGCTATCTAGACCGTTGCTTCAGTTTTGGAGATGCTCCGCTCTCCTCGTTCAAGCGGCACCTTGACACCAGAGGATAAACTGCGCCTAGTTCTTGTCTTCTACTTGTCTTCACCGGATAATGCGATCTCGAAGGACGACATTGTCGAGTTGGAAAAGGAGTTAAAGAATGCAGGAGCTGATACCGAATCATTTGAATATGTCAGACGCACAAGGGAGATCTCGCGGATGACAGTGGCTACTGCTGTTGGAGGAACCTCGACGCCCGTACTCGGTGCAGGCCAAGGAGAACTCTTCAGGGGCTTCACAGCATTCGGAAATAGGGTCAGTATTATCCTTAGCTCTCCAGATAGATGGTAACATTTTTATTATCTAGCTCACTGACCGACTCAAAGAAGGAGGTCTCGACAATCTTATCTCAGGTGTCAAGAACTTCCTACCGGCGAACAAATTGCTCCCTGTTACTCGAATTACTGAGGCGATCATGGACTCGTCTGCAGCTTCGAACCAGTCGCTGCAAGAAACAGATGATTACATTTTCCTTGACCCCCGAGCCTCTCGACACACTGGCCTCGGTCTTTCAGGAGGTACAGGTGGTCCAGGAGGCGGCTCATTAATCAACTAGTGAGTAAATTTCTTTGCAGCGCGTTATTGCACTGACACAATTTGTACTCTGCACGCGAACACTCAATGATGGCAGCTACATGACTTGTTGGTCCAGACCTTTCCTATGGTAGGGCGAGACTCCTATATTATTGTATCTTGGTTAAATATATATGTGTATCCTGAGCTTACTGGAAGTATCCGTCCGCACCACAATTCCAAACCTCCACCCAGGGTCTGTATCCTGGCGTCTTTGGTAAAAAAAAATGCACGCGTGATGTTCAAATATTTGCCAGAAAACAATGAGTGTTGCTAACTGAAACGCACAGATTTGGTGCCTGGCGGATGATCAGTTGCAGGACGTTAATCGCTGTTAGAACCTGAGGAGTCTGCTTGGTCTGTTTTTTCTGTCGACGTACGTTCCTCTGACTTAAACACAATATTTATGCGACATTATTTATATATTGGACTATGTATGTTACAATTGGCCAGTTTCTTCCCCAAAATGTGATGGGAAACTCGGCTTAGATGTTTGACGTCGATAGCATGCATATTCAAACTTCAATCTGCATTATGTAAGTGTGATGAATGATCCGGGCCTTCGATGACGTGAATATATCATTTTCCTTTACCTTTTCACCAGTGAGACCGAATTCAGGGCTGACGGTGTTCATCTTGCGGTGATGCCAATTCTGACTAGCTTGTAAGTAGATTAACAAGGCAAACAGGTTGAGCTAAACCAATGGCAGCCGAGTGCCAGAAAGGGATTGAGACTGTCTCTGTGCAGAGACAATGGACGACGTCCAAATCGAAAAATTTCCTTGGTCCGAACCTTCAGTTTGCCACATATAGGCATTTACTTCTCATTCTGGTTTTGGCCTGGATCTTCGAATTGACCTTTCAAACTTCAACAGTACTGCAATTGACATTTACTGTCTAGATCCAAACACGCACCAGCCCACCATGACACCTGAACCATCCGACATATCAGGAACATCAACCCACTTTCAAGATTTGCTCAACAACCTGAACTCTGGTGTGAGAGGCGGCCGTAGAAGAAAATTCTGGTAATTTTCAAATTGTCGCTGGTACATGTTGTCTCACCATCAGACCAGTGGTCCAATTGAACCGTACTTACATGCAGCTCGGTGGTTTCCTCTCACGATTGACCCATTTGCTGTGCTTGAGGATGTCTTGTACGAGGGCATGGAAGCCGAGTTTTCTGAATTGCGGGCCGACACCTCAGATGAAGAAGCTTCAAGTTCAAATAAGTAAGTCTGTGGCAACCTGAGATATCCAGCACTCTGATATTTTACCTGCGCAGTCATCAGAAGGAGTTGTGTATAAAGCAATACAAAGAACTTGTGAAGCTTGTACCAACCTTCAGTGACATTATATCAGGATTTGAAAAAGTTCCGTCGGCCTTGGACAATTTTATTCATGCGGTAACACAATCATGTTCATCATTCATGTTTTTGTCTTACATCTAGCCAGCTTACCTGTGCCGCAAATGATGCGCGATCCGATGATACTGGGAGCCTAATGCGAGAGGGGCTGGTATACATGCTCAAGAACCCTGAAACTGACCAGTTTAACCCACCTCTACTCAAGCAGCATGGTAAAATCGTTCGTGGATGGAACCACCCTCAGACCGCGCGACTACTGTGCCCGATGCGGATGCTCGACGTGTTTGACAAAAATCCCCAGTAAGTCGTGCTAATATTATTCATTTGCTCTCACGTAACCAGCTATAGGGACTTCATGGATAAGGTAAAGGAAGGTCAGATCACAATTACAGTCGCAAAGCTCCCTGCATATCTATACGATGAGTCTATGTTGGACCCCGCCAGGAAAAATTGAGGTTGTCTTCGAGGATACTACCTCAAACGTGTATGCTTGTCTTTCTTATCCTTGTTCGTCGAATACTATTTTACCATTTGAGCAGGTCTTTCGCCACATATTCACTGGACCATCAAGTGCCATTTCTGCAACCGCTCACAAAGGCACCAAGGCTCCAAAAGGTCGAATTCATGGTATGACATCGCCACTACCACGAGCAATTGCATACGCAGCCGTACAGGTAAGCTCTCGTGCGAGATTCACGTGCTTTAACTGATCATCAACCTAAGGCATATTTCCAGCTTAGTTCTGCAACGCAATGGCGTCAGCAAATCGGAGACTTCGATCTCGTTCTATTGTACGATCGAGTAGTCAATATGTTCGAAGGAAATAGTATTAATAAGCAATGGGTGCAAGAAACACTCGACCATTGGAAGTCGTAAGACTATTCGACTCTCCCTTTTATACGCTGATCTATATTATGAATAGAGAGACTCCTGGACTCCTGCAGCGTGGGCGCTCCAAGGCCAGGATAGATGCAGGACTTCATGTGTTTGACAGCGAGGATGACATGGACGATTTTTTTGAATCTGATGGGCATTCTCCTGATAACGGAGAACAGGGTCCACAAGATAGGATCGAGAGCAGTGGCAATGCAGAGAACACACATGGTATTTAAAATCCCTGTAATTTGAATCGTGCATATAGCTAATGTACATTCTGGCCCAGCGGTGTCAGATAATAATGAGTCAGCACGTCAGGTAGCTTCAAGGACAGCAACACGTGCACCACGCCAGAAGAGAAGACGCTGCTGACTCCGATTCAACTTTGTCGTTCTTAAGTGCACATATTTCATTTTATTTTCATCCCGATACATTCACCTACCACGGTACCATGTCTTGTAGTGCCTGACAGCAACATATCTTTCTCGTAGCTCACCACTCCAATGTTTACACTTATATTGGCTTGTCCCAATGTCCTTGTAGTTGTCTTTCATCTTCGGTCTGTACTCTAGCTTACATTGCGCTTTATTTCTGACCTGTGTGTTCGTAGCTAAGTGTACTCTGCATTGTAATTTGATTTGCTACTAGGAAATTCAACTTTAAACTGCGAAGGCTCCTGCATGATCGCGTGCCATACCATAATTTTGCTCCATTGATTCTTTTGTTGTTGTCTACTAGATCTTTGTCGACAAATACGATCCGTACAATTTCAAGACACCCATACTGACAAATCGCCCATTCAACCTTCTTGATCTTCATCATTTTTAGGTCATGGTGTTTCTGCACCTGGTGCCAAATACTCGGTGTCACACTGTTTTTGGAACCGAGCAATGCAAATGTGGCGTTGGAGGAGTTCTAAGTTCCGAACATTCTGACCGAATCCTGACCCCAACATTTTGATATACTTAAACCCGGGCAGGCAGTATTTCTATTTCGAATCGTCGGGCCCATAAACAATATGGAAAGGTGCGTAATCAGTACTCCCCATTCATGTACATACCATTTCAGTTAATTCAGATGCAATCTACGTCAGTTGCAGCTAGTCATTTGCGCCTTGCATGAGCCTGAAGAACCTTATTTTCAAGTCATCGGTGCAAGGTACATACCAAGTACGAGTTAGAGCCATGAGGTGTCGGTCGAATGCGTAAGAAGTCCTACCTCCTCTGGGGCACCACGTGTCAACTATGGCATGCTACACCTGTGACAGTACAACCACGATAAGTCCAATGATGATGCATTTGGCCCATCCAACACTCACAAAAGAAGCAAGACTTGCGCATCAGTACAAGATGACGCCACGGCTGCAGCTCCCCACATGGCATTGGGATCAACCAAAACTTTAGAACGGTGGGTCTGATCTATGGCTCCATCGTAACAACCGCGAAAATACAGCGCAAATTATGTTTGTGGGATACCTGGGCGTAACAGGTCCTAATGCAGGTTGTCAGAGTCGGGGACTTGATGCACAAGCACCGTCACATCTTGTTCTGGATCACGAAGTCTCAATAGCCGTTAGTTGCTCAAACTACGGTGACTGGCACCGAAGTACGTGTGCTCTCCTGTGTGTTCTCCTCCATTATGAACTTAAATTTTACAGATTCAAACCTAAACGAATGGGTATAGTGTCAGAGTTGGGCCAAATGCCCTTACACTAGCATCACTCGTTGTTCCGTGCGTGATATAGATATATCCTCTTTGTCTTCTCCCCGGAGAGTTATATACAGGCCATTCGGTAACAGGATCGTACTTTTGACTCCGCAGCTTCCACGAGTCTTGCCAATGGTGAGTATCTTGCTTTTTCACTCTTGGGCCCGCACTACTTGCAAAATATTCACTCAGGTACTCAAATATTTACTTAGTCTTAGTACTGTAATTTGCTGATTTCTACTTCCCAGCATTGACTCAACCAAAGTGCGGTTGTGTGGTAGTCTCTGCGGAATATTGGTGCGTTCGTTGTCGTATCGTGATGGTGGCGAGGTCATTATCTGTACTTCGTGTCTGTGAGCTGATCAACTTCTGCTGCTGTTTTTAGCTATAAGTGACCTCGCCAGTGCTCGGCTGTCAACAAATGGACAATAGATGGGACATTCACAATCGCGAGGTTCCTGGTTCAGAGGAAAATAGTGTACATTGTGCCGTCGCAGGTTTGAGATGTTTTTCACCCATAAAATTATATTCTGCGTGTTTGTAGCTATCAAAATGCCAGTTCGCTCCCCGCAAATGCCTGTAACAGGTCCGATATCTGCGTGTACCATCCTACCCGCAGTAATAGCATCCGGCGACCCTCACATGCAGGGTCATAGGCGAGTACAAGTATAGGTAGCGTGTGTGTGCTCCAAACGCCGGGGCTCGAGACTAGTATGCACTGGGTACACTTGTGCTAACACCGAAGGGGAATAAAGTTATGATATGATACATCCGGCATACTTTGGCCGGTTGCAGCGACGGTACTGGAAGGAGTATGCATGGAAATTTATCACACATACAAGAGACTGCA